TGCTGAACAACTGCTTAGCCAAGGTGGGCAGGAATGAAGAACTGGCTTTTTTAAAGCCTTACCTGAAGGTGCCTTCCAATAAAAGGTCCTTCCGCAACGGAGTTGGATCAGGAATTAAAAAAACTTCCTTTCGAAGAGCAAAGTCATAACCAAATGTTCAAAAAAAACCCACCCCTGATTTTAGCACCTGATGTTTAACTTTGTGCTTAGCACCGTTTTAATGCTTTTCTAGGATAAAACCAACAGAGACAAATGTACCCGTGTCTTCATTGTGTAAACAGGTGTTTATTTCAAAGAGCACAAGCCAAGGGGAGCAGATGGGTTTGCTCAGAAAGGGCTTTGTTCCCAAAGTTACAGTACCATAAAGTTTTGTATGGGAATGGCTGTTTTCATTTGGTTCACTCCCCTTCTTTGTAAAGCTGCAGATTTAATCATCTTGCTCTTGATTCATGCAAAAAATTACTCCTGGGCTCTGAATAGTTGTGGTCCCTGACACCCCTCCTCGCTGCCATCCTTGCCTCTGTGCCACCAGCAAGGCAAGGCATGGCATGGCTCTGCTTTCCCATCCCAAAACACATGGGATTGAAGAAAGCCAATTTTAACACAGTTTTAAAGTACATTCCATTTCAGATTTCCTGTGATAGGAAGGGCCACTGGTGAAAGGCAGACTCAGGCCCTACTCGTAACTTCTAGTTTCAAGCCAGTTACTTAAAATGAATTCAACCTTTTGAGATGTGTCATCTCTTTTCCAGAAGAGTCCTGGGGAATCACTCTTAAGTCAGGGTATCAGGGCAGCTCCTCTTGCCTCAATTAGTTGACTTGTGTAGGCAAAACACATCTGATGAAACGTGCCCAAGGCAGTTTCTGCTCCTCTGCTACAGTTGTGGTGCAGTGATGAACAACAGGCTTTGGGTCTGGTTGTGGGTTGCTCGTTGTAGTTTTTTTAATTGCTTGTAAAAGAGTAAGTCCTTTGGTCTGAAAATCTGTGAATGTGGTGTGTAGGGGAGGTCATCTGCTGAGTTACATGTGTGTGAATTCTACCTTGTGGCTATTTCCTCCCAGTGCAGTGTAACAAGCTGTGACGTTGGCTTGAAAATGTGGCCACGTGTCCCTGCGGTGTGTTTTGAGTTCCAAGCCAAGATCATAATAAATCAGTCTATGGATGCTTTTTAATATTTCCCTCTTAAATATCATAACCCAGGAGATCACCATTAAACCAAAATAAGGCCTGATTGTCATCCTCCCTTCCATGGTGCCCATTCCCGTGTCCTTCAGCACTGATCCCATGGAGAACAGGGACTTGAGCAGGGAGCTGTGCCTGTGCCATAGTGTCTTCCTGGCCTGCAGCTGCCTAATTTCTGGCTGATTTGAGGAGATCAAACACACTTCTGCCTGCATTTGTCCACACTGAACTGTTTAAAGCATTGTGTTTTGTAAAGCTGCTTAAACATTTACTCTCCTTTTGGGTACTGTTGGTGTCTGGGTTGTGTAAGCTCTTGCAGCTCTTACTCAAAGGACACCTAGAAACTTTGCAAATGGAGAAGGAAATGGCAGGTAATTATTATTCTCATGCACTTTGACATGTGTAATGTCTGGGTGGAAGGAAGCCTAGGCCAGCCAAGGCAGGGGCTTGTTCTGGAATGTTTGGATTTCAGCCATGGCAGGTGCCCTGCAAAGGCAATTTTCCTACTCCATCCCTCTCCAGCTCTGTCCTGATCAGCCCAGGGAGTGACATTTTGATGCCTTTGGGCCATGAAAAACTGAAGGGCTAGGAAGGACTCCTGGCCTGTGGCTGCTGAGCTTGTGGGTAAGAGCTGCCAGGACTGGTATGGACCTGCTGAAGGTGGGACCCAACTGCAGAGTCCCAACAGTATTTCAGGGAAACCAGTAACATGGATTTCATTCTGCCCTTGTGCATCCCTGGAGGGCCTCTGCTCTGCTCCTTATAGCTTGTGTCACCACCCAACTCTTTTTTCAAGGAAGAAAAAAAAAATCTCTAAAGAAGTCCAGATTTATCTTTTCCCTGGGCCTTCACATCCATTTTAGTTAACCTTTTTCTACATAATCAAATACATTTCAGCTTTGGTAGCTTATGATAAACAAGATTGTCTGTGAGCCATTTATTGTGCAGGTATCTGAGCAGCTCATTAGTGACGTGGCATTGCCTTGGAGCAGGGGGTGCTCAGGAGGGATGGAGAGTCAGGATCCTGCCTGCACAGACCTTCTTCCCTTGTTGTTTTTGTGGGTTTTTTTAGACCTGCGAGAAAAACAGCTTCTTGGCTACAGAAAAAAGCCCATTATTTATGATTTAGCCATTCCCTGACAAGCCACTCCACCTTGAGGGATGTTCATACACAAAAAAGATGGTACAAGGAGGCCACCCAGAGCCATAAGTCTTGCACTCACCTAAATCACACCCAGCAAGCCTGGAAAATGTAGATTATCCAGCTGATTTACAGAAGTGGTTCTGTCACTGGTGGCCTGATCTTGCCATCACCACCCACCCAAGGCACTTATCCTGCCTTTGACATGAAACACTCTACTCTCTTCTGAACTTTAAAAGGGGCTTTATCTCGGGAAGAACAGAGAGTGACCTTCGTGATCTCTGTCAGAAAATAAGGATCTGAGGGTGCCATTGCTGAGCACATTAATTTTTATGCTGACAGAAACTGGAAACATGACATGAAATGTCTTTTTTCTCAGTGCAAAGAGGACATCAGGATGGACAGTAGGATTGCAGCATAATTAATGTGCTGCAGTGAATTATATTCCTGTCTGGAGAAACAGGGATTCATTACTCTGGAAAGACATTTTGTTGACTTTGTTTGCTATTTTTCTTGGCTAACCTAAGGAAAGGGATAAATAAGCTGATAGGGTGGGAAGAGTAATGCTTTGTCTAGGGATTGAGGTGGAAGTTGGGAATGCCTTGACCAGTCTTGGCATGTGGCAGTAACTCAGTCTGTGACCTTAGATGACTCACTTCATTTCTACTCAGTTTCTCCACTGGAAAAATAAGAAGCATATTCAACAAGTGAACAAGCAGTGTCATGAGTGAGGGATTTGGGAAGTGTTTTGGAAGTGTTGGGGCATAGAAGGGTGGTCTGTGCAGCTGGTGCAGTGTCCTGGGGCTGGGAGAAGGTCAGGAGCTCCTCTGCCCCATCTAGCCTCACCTCCAGCACGGGACTGAGCACCCCAATACTCATGTTCTTTTTCTAACCTCCCTCTGGATTTCTTAGACAAGCCAGTCCCCAGGTTTACCAGCTGCTTTCATGCTTTCTGCATTACTCCAGCTACTGCAAACCAGGTGGGTGAGATCTTTCTTCCCCTAGGAGGCTGAGTGAGAGCCACCCTCCACACTTGCTCTTTCACAGTGCAGCTGCTACGGTTTATTCAATCTGGAGGCAGGAACAGTGTGTATTTTCCTCTTTTTTGATCATACATCCTTTGGTAAAACAAATTAAAATGCATTCAAAGGACATGCAGAATCCCTGAACCAGCAGGGATTCCTTTTACCCTTCTTTTCTCTAACTTGCAGCTACCTTTGGAGGCTTTGGACGTAAGTTTCCACTAGTAGGTCTTTGGGCTTTGAGAGCCACCTTGGAGCACAGCAGTTACTTTTTTTGGCAGCAAGCCTGTCCTGGGCCTTGCAGGGCTGCTGCTGCATCCCCATCCCACCCCTGGAAGGGCACCTTGCAAAGGGCCACGAGCATTCTTGCACATTGTCTGCTGCTCCTCTGGTCCCCAGAATCCATCTCTGCCTTTCAAGGAGGCAGCTGAGGTCACCACGAGGTGAAAATGGAAAGAACAAATCCAATAAAAACAGGAACAAGTGAAACCTGCCTGAAGACAGGAGGAGGAATTCACCTTTTTTTTTCTTCTTTGCAGACTATTGGCAAGAAAGGCAATTAAGTAGCCTGATGTAATAGCATCTAATTCACTTGCAGGACTGAAAATTACTTGTTGTAATGACTTACCAATACTTGGGTTTCTGATTACCAAGCATACATTAAAGTGGGTGTATATATCCTGTTAGATTTCCTAATTTGCTATTATTTGCCTGTAGCTGGTAATTTATTGCTTTAAGATACTGGAAGAAAGGAAGGAAAAAGTCTCCTGCTGCTTTTAGCTCTGGATATAATTTTGACCTTAAGAAAGAACAAGAGAGATATGAGAGAGTGTATTAGATGTTATTATTACCGTAATAAAATACAGATAAAAATCATAGTGCAGAAAGACTCTAAGACAACTATTAAGCATTTGTCATATAAAGAAAATCAGAGTTTAACTTATCAGATATTCTGGCACTTTAAAGATTCATCATGAAAAATTACTTCTAACAGTGAAGCATTTATGCAATATGTCATTGATGAGCTTCAACGTTTAAAGAGTTTGGGAAAAGATTTTAAAAATGTCATAGCTGGGCTTTTTTATTAGTCTGACAGAATGTTTTGCTAGATTGGAATTTATTTTTCATAGTGAAACAGTGTGGCATCATGGTCTTTTAGAGAAAACAAACTGGGCTCCTTGTGCTGCCCTCTACATTGAGGTGGGCAGTGAGCACAACCAAACTGGGAATGGGCATTGTTGGCTGAAGGAATGATAGAGCTGTACATCAGACTGCACTCTGGTCATTGCTTTTAGAGCCAGGGGGAATTTTTTCCACCTTTGTGGTGATGGAAAAGCTTTTTCTTCTAATACTCGACTGAATTTGAAGTCACTGGGTGGATTAGGCTTCAAATTAAGTGTCCCTTAAAAGCTTGATCAGCTGAGACCTGTCTTCTCCAGGTGTTCAGAATGAACCATTTGGAGGACAGATAAGGGCTGAGGGTGGTAAGAAATGAGCTATCAAGTGCAGCTCTCCAGACATCATCCACAACTCATTGAAGTCAAGAGAAAGCTGCTGAGCACCTTCAGCAGGCTCTGGACCAGACACCTGGGAGGTCAAGGTGAGAGCTTTTCCTGTTTGCTTCTCATGGCCTGGCTGGATGACTCCAGTGAATCTCTATGACAACCCTCCAGCACCTCACAGCACCTAGGAGCACTGAGGGCTTTTTCTTCCCAAAAAACATCCTCAGTGGTATTTGTGGTTCATACTTACTGTCTCTTCCAGCCCACTGGATCTCCATTTGCAGACCAGAATATCACTGGC